TTCTTCTTCTTCTTCTTCTTCTTCTTCTTCTTCTTCTTCTTCTTCTTCTTCTTCTTCTTCTTCTTCTTCTTCTTCTTCTTATTATTATTATTATTATTATTATTAAACACAGGGAGAACAAACTGTACAGACGGCACCTCAGGTCTGAAACTGAACACAAAGCCCCAGCGCTTCGAGGCACAAATTCTAACCAATGTGCCGCCAGTGTACAGATCCCAGAACAACCTGCCCCTTGCCGGATGTGTCCCACCTCCTGCTGGTGATACAGCATGACTCAGGCTTGAACTTGGGATGCATGCAATACAGACATTAGCCATTAAGTGGAGCAAGTGCCTTCGCTTGGTGAGACACTTGGGTTCTCCATAAAAATTGTTGACAGCATGCAAGAAGAAATTATGATTTATGTCTTACATTTTAATATTACTGTCATACCATGCCCTTAGGAGCTAAAAGCTGTTTTATGAGTGTTTTTTAGAGTTTAATTTAGAGTCCTGTGATCAGAGTTAAGTGCAACATTGAGTTACTGAATAGAAAGCTTAATTGTTTATGTGTCAGACATTTGTAAAATATGTCTTGTTACATTACTTGCTAGTGTCACACTTGAATGAACCTCCACTGGGTCAGATTCACCGTAGATGTGGCAGCAGCTGTTATTTCTATGCTGATGAAACCCGACATTAATCAAGCACAGTCTGTTTTGTCCTATGGCTTAGATCATGTGAAAAATAGATGCACTTTTACTTCTAAACTCTAGCCAGACTGAAGTTTTGTCAGTTGTATCTCCTTAGTATCTTTGCCAATGTGACAGCCCTTGGCTGTTTACCGAGTAGCTCAACTGGAAGAGGTGTTTTCCCGCATGCAGATGGACTTGTCTGGTGGTGGGTTTGAGCCTGTCAGTGACAGAGAGACCCCTGCACCCTCCCATTTGCTCCTAGGCATGTAGGGCTCTTGGTGAGAGATGTCTCTCCTCCAGGTCTGATGCAAGAAAGCGAATGAATGCTGTTGTCTTTTGCTGGCTTGGTTATTGCCATGTGTTTCTTACTGGTGGTTTGTTAAGTTAAGTTGCAGGATGTAGCTGTGCGGTTTTTAAAGGAAAACTAAAATGCATTTATTGCCTGTTTTCGGTTAATTGCACCGATTGCCTGTGGAGCTGAGAATTCAAAATACTAATGCTTGAATGGTTTAGCTCCTTACTGCATCAGTGATCTGTTGTGTTATACACTTACGTCTCATCTGGACTCCAGTCTTCTTGCGGTTCCGATTCTGTTTCTTCAGAGATGTTGAATAGTCTCCCAGCCCCTCTCAGGTCTTGCAGGTCCATGGCACTTTCAAGCCCTGTCTTAAAACTGTTATACAAACTGTACTATTGGTACAGCTGGTGTAAGATGAGAATATAGTTTTATCAAAGTTTCAATTAGCATTATGAAGGCACAATTACCATTTACACATCTCAAGTTAAATTTGAGAGACTGGAATTGATGAAACCAGAAAGGTGTTGAAGAATTTAATTTGCAAGTTAAGACCTTGAGGAAAGCACACTCATTTAAATTACTCATTTTTGGGTTTTGCTTTCTGCATTTTCTATTCTTAAATTATCTTTTGTAAGTCTTGTGATCGAGATAAAAGAGGTCCTTCAAGCAACTCTGTAATAGTTTTTTAGCAATGGGTATAACTCAGCCTTCTGGCTCACTGTATTGCCTATGTAGCACTAATGTACTTCAGATGTACAACCAGTACAGGTAGTAAGCATATTGGGACGGCTAGTGTATTAACTCCTGAATTACCAGGGGGAGGGAATTTGACAGCCAAAGATTTAAAGACATAAATAACCTCACTATATGAACAGGATTATAAAGAATTACTGTATTTACTGTGTCCTGCATTTTAAATGTGGTTAGGATGATACGGCATAACGGAAACAATTAAGATCTTAACCTGCCTTGTGCAAAACATGCTAAAGAAGAAAGCCCTTGTTGAAAAATGTAGTCCTATTGATTTGTGGGTTGCCATAGCATTTTTGCTTTTGCATATATTTAAAAAGTTTATTAGATTATTTCAGTACTCAGGAAAACACATTATTGTGCGGCACTGGGGACCTAATGATTTTAAGACATTTGATTATAGTCTTTCAGCAATGAGCAATTTAAATGCATTCCATTCTTTTCCAATTTAGTTCTGAAACAGGATAAAAATAAATAAGTGAAAAATAATCTGTTGCAGTCTGGGCTAGCAATACCCATGACCTGCCTGATCAACTCATTTATTAGACCTAGCAATGTCTTTCAATGCACAGCCTCTGTGATTACAGTACCCTTCTTGTTAAATGAGGTTTATAATCCCATTCGTATTAATTCTTTGAGCTGCACCAAAGTTTATAGAAATATGGTCACAGACCAGTTGGCTAATTTATGTTTGAAGGGTTTTTTTTTCCATATGTATCTCAAACAATGCTATGCATTTCAGAGCTAGCTGCTTCTCAGTGCTACATAAGCTCTGTGGGACAAAGGGGTACAACACATTAGAGGGGCATGTAGGAGTATAGCACTTTCCCATTCTGGTTGCCCCCATAACCCCATTTTGTTTCTATTCGAGCTGATTTCTCCAAGACTTAATTCAACCCTTAAATTAGTAGTTAGTTTATTCAGATGCTTACTGTCTTTTGCAGTTACTATAAAGTTGCAGTCACGTTTTCTTATAGGAATTAGTAGTCAAGCCAAAATCTCCAATTATTCTCCCTGAAACTGGTTTAATAGTCCTAATTAAGCTATTGATTAGTTCAATAAGGGGCTGTATTAAGTAGCAGGGAGCTCAGCTGGCTCACGGACCAGAAGACACTGGGGTCATGTAGACTGGGAAGCCTGGCAGCAGTCTGGAAGGAAGTACAGGATTAATCTTGATCACTGTGGAAGCCTTTTATTTCCTTGAAGGTTAGAAATTGTTTTCCCCCATTGATTTCATTTTGCGATTATGCTGTAGCATTCGTTGCGTAGCTTGTTTGACTGTCTAAATTTCTTTTTAAGTAAACTTTGAGAAATATTCTGGAACTTTTCAAACTCATACTGTTTACTGTTATGTAGTTCTTCACTTGCATTGCTCCCATTTATGCAATCAGTGTTGTTTAGCTTTTTTATGTCATTTATCTTGATTAGTTGTCAATTGTTTAGACAATCGATCATGTGCCCCAAATATTCTGGTAGCCTGAATGGGAGGAAGTGAAGTAGAGGAAAAATTACAGTGATGC